TATTATACTATCTTACATTTTCTCCCACATTGTTAAATATTTATCATAAATATAGTTTTTCATGGCTGCAGAACATTCCAGATCCTACATGTTCAAAAGCTTTTCTAACACTTTCACAATATGTGGGCTTTGAAAGTTCTCATTCCATTCATTCGTCTGTGACCGAGTTGTTCTTACCGTTTCTCATCTTTGCTCAGGTTGTTTCCTTGGCTTGGAAAGGATCCTAAAGTCCTTTCCTGTCTGCTTAAATCCTACCCTTCCAGTTTAAGTCCTGCTACTTTTTTCCCTCAAACTCTTTTGTCATGGAAAAAAACAGATTGACCTTCAGAATGAGGGATGGATTTCAAGAGGCTTATTTTCCCAGGAAGTGCTGACATAGTACCATGTAACCTGACAGCAATGGCATTGCAGTATCAAAGGGCTCACCGACACTATTATTTCCCAGTGCTGTACAAGGAGAACTATTTATTGTACAAAATAATAGCTAAAATATGTTATGCATTTTCTATATGTCAAACATTATTCTAAGCACTTTACATACATTAGTCATTTATCTTCGTAACAGTCCTATCGAGTGGATCCTGTTAATATTTTCATTTTACAAATGAGAAAATCGAGGCACAGAGAAGTTAGGAAATCTCCCCAGGCCACACAAGTAGTAAACAAAAGACTTGACATACAAATTCAGTCTGGCACCAAAGTCTGGGTGCTTAACCAAAGACAGAGAAGCGCAGTCAGTTCACTGTGGCCCATGCTCTCCCTAGTCTCAACCTGGCCCATACCATTTTCAGAGTATATGTGAGCCATATTCCCACCAGGAGCAATGAGCCTTTTCATTTGTTGGAGAAACCTGGCTGGGGACCATCATCCTTCACAGGATATTGACAAGCAGATAAGTTTGCTTTGTTAGTGGTCATTCTCTGAATACAATGAATCCAGAGGCATTTCCAGGGCTAAGGCAGGGTATGTAGGAAACACCTGTGCCTTCTGGACCTTATGCATTTCTGTGTCCCCATCACCTAGCTGAAAGCATGCCATCACACACAGGGAAGGTATTGTCACACATCATGGCTTGATTTTAGGTAATTGCTCCTTTCATATCCTTTCCCAAGGAGTGAGGGCTCTTGCAATGGACCACATGGGGGTGAGTGTGGAGAGAGGAAATGCAGAGAGCCTTCCAAAGGTGCGTATACTTGCAAAACTGAGTCCGAAAGAGAATGAATGATTATTGGTCTCTAGTTTAGAGAATGATGATACCGCAGGGTTCAGAAATATGTTAAAAGTTAACTTTACCAGTCACTCTTCCAGGGCCTAATATTCCTATGACAGCTCTGCTGGGGGAATGCCAGCCCCTGCTTGGATTGCTGTATGGCCCTGTTAAAAGTTGGACATTTCATTGAGGGAAACTCTGTCTTCCATAGTTTCCACCAATTGGTTCTAATTCTGTTCTGTGAGATGCTCGAGAACAAGTTAGCTCCCTCTTCCACGCAATAGCCCCAGAGAGATTTGAGGTCAATGATCATAACCTCCTTGAGCCTTTTCCTTTCAGGCTAAATGAACATAGGTGTTTAACTGGGTCTCTTTGCACATGATTTCCAAGTCTTTTCCCAGTCAGGTTTGTGTCCATTGATGGCTTCCAACTTGGCTTTGGACTCTCCAAGCACAGAGCTAGATCATCCTGTAGAGTGCTAGCCCACATCAGGGCAGAACCATCTTTCTCCTTCTGGGGGACTGACTAGAATGAGTGTCTAGGATCAGAAATTAGTTCTCCAACTTTTAAGGAGGGTTCCAGGGCTTTGGAGGTGAGTTTGGTTTTGAAGGGGTCAGGAAACCCAGAATTATTTAGGTTCCTATAGTTGGGAAGAAATGAAAATAGCTAATATTTTTGGATACATACTACATGCCAGGCATTGTGCTAGACACTTAATATGGATTATATCATCTAATCCACTTGACAACGTCTATAGATGCTACTGTTATGACCTCTACTTCACAGCTAAAGAAACTGGGACTTAGACCTTGGAGTGCTTTTCCATGTGTGCTAAAACTCAGGCAAGACAGATATTACAGGGAGCAATGTGTGAAGGTTTAGCACTTCAACACAGGGCAACTTCTGGCTAGTGATGATGCTTCGGAAAAACCAGGTATAACGGTGAGAAAGGGAGTTTGGGGTAAGAATAAGTCTTCTAAGGCCCCAAAGACCCAGAGGAGAAGGATCCATGCAAGGGTGGCACAAAAGGATGTGCAGGGAGTACCAATAACAACAGCTACCACTTGTTAAATGTGTACTAAACCAGGCACTTTACATACATAATCTCCTCTAACCCTCACAACAACCCTAAAAGGAATTACTGCCATTATGATCGCTAAGTTACAGATGAAGAAATTGAGGCTTAGTGAGATTAAGTGACTCTCTGAAGGCCATACAGCTGGTATGCAGCAGTGTCGGGATTTAAATTCTGACAGCTGACTGCACACATATGGCCCTATACTGACTCCTAAAGGAGAAGACAGCTGGCAACACTGATGAGGAAAACTTCTCTCCCATTCCTTCCTGGAGGAATCCAAGAGTTTATGAGGCAGCTCAGGGCTGCGGGCCACGCCTGATAGCACTCACAGAGGACAGGGAGTCTGGTTCGGAATGAGAGAGTTTTGCCAGACTTTCTACATCAGCACTGCCAGTCACGAGACACCAACTGGAGTTCCTGAAGGTCTAGAAACCTCAATCAGGTAAATATTTTTGAGTAGATACGCTATGTCAGAATTGGAAACCTAATTTTGAAATGACATGTTTTCACGCCTTTCTACTACCTTTAAAAAAAAAATACCATTTGCTTTCTTGTAGTGTAATGGTTTTCAAGTTTTAGTGTGCATCAGAATCTCCTGGAGACTTGTTAACACACAGATCATCCCAACCTGTCCCCAGAGTTTCTGATTCAGTAAACCTGGGGATGAGACCTAAGAATTTGCACTTCTACCAAGTTACCTGTGATGCTGATAACAGCTGGCCCAAGAATCACATTTAAGACTGCTTTGGGGTGGAGTAGTGGTTAAGGTGCTGGATTTCTACATGGCCAAACGTGGTTTGAGTCCCAGACTCAGTAGCTTGAAACTACCACCGGGTCCATGTGTATGTGTGCCCAAGATCTTGAGAGAAGAATGGAGGAGAAGGAATTGTGGCATGGCCATCCCCGCTGAGGGGTGATTTCTCACTTTCTGTCTCTTTGTCTCTCTCGCTCTCTCTCTGGCAGGCACATGCACCCTATGGCAAAAATCTACCCCCCCCCAAAAAAAAGCAACTGCTTTAGTTTATTGCTAAAGCCACTCTTGAAAGTTTCTAAACTAACCTGACTGTAAAAGGGTAGAGAAAAGGCAAAGAATTTGCCTATAAAGCAGAGGCATTGGGGATAGGTCAGTAAGTGACTGCAGTGGGAGGCTTTTGGAGAAGAAAGCCTGTAAGGACTAGGAAAATAAAGGTCACAGCCAGAAGGAATTGGTTGTTCTTGATTGGGAATGAGGGAAAGCAAAAGGCCTAGAATGAGCTTGGCAGGGAAGCCAGACTGGCCAAAGAGACAGCGATTTGGCAAGGGCAGAAGTCAAATGGAATAGAACTGTTGTCAAAAGCTGCAGGCTCTTGGCTGGGCTGCAGAAAAAGAGCTAGGGGAGCTGAGGCAGGGAGGCAGGGAGCCAGGAGTGAGCTTCTGGGGCTCTATGGCAGAGTCTGGTGATCACATTTCAGCTGCTACTGTCTCCCAAAACTTCTTTCTTCCTCTTCCTCCGGTGGTGCCTCAGTCGTAAAGTGCCCAAGAGTTGCCCTCTGATAGAAGCAAGGTGAGATCCTTGCAGCAAGTAGTGGTGACAGCACCAAATGCTGTTTTCTGCCCTTAGTGGTGGGTCCTGCAGTGGCAGGCAGGGACAGGCTGGGAAGTACACAGTCTGGAGGTTTGACCTCTAACGTTCTCCAATCCCCACAGTGGAAACTGACTCAGCTTCAGTGTGCAGGATGGAAAACGACCCGACAGCTGCAGCAGGGCGTCTGGCTGCACTCCACAGGGGAGGCTTGGGTGAGAGGCTCTCTTCCCTTGGTACCAAGCGAGGGGGCATTCTTTGGAAGACTGGATGCCATTACTCCTTTCAGTAGGCAGGAGCAAAATTGTGTACACAGGCCCTCCCTGGACCCTGGCTTCCCGAGCACTTTCCACCTCCACTGAGGCAAGCTCTCTTGTTTTCCCCTTTGTGCCTGTCATCCTGTTTCTCGTGGATCTCCAGGCAGTTGAAAGACTTATCGTGTGCTTGCTCTGTGGCAGGCTCTGTGCTGGGGATACAGATATGGGTAAAAGTCTCAGCTCTCAAGGAAATCACAGTAGAGTTGGGAAGATCCGTGGTGTATGGACATTACAGCTTTGCAGGATGAATACTGTTTCTCAAACATATGAGGAGCTCAGTCTTCCCCCAAGGGCTTTGCATTGGCTGTTCCTTCTGTCTAGGATGCTCTTCCCCAGATCCTTGTAAGGCTCATCTCACTTTACTCAGGTCACTCCTGAGAGGGGCCTTCCCTGACCTACTATGGAAAATTGGACTCTCTCAATCCTACGAGTCCATTTACTCCGGCAATTTCTTGACACCTATAACCATCTCACAATTTCTTGACACCTATAACCATCTCACACACTGACTGTTTTAGGGGCCAGCCTCCCATTACTAGACGGTAAGCTCTGAGAGCAGGACCTGTTACTGCTGAATTCTGTCTATAGAACTGGTATATAATAGGTACTCAGTCCTATTCCCCTTTTATTCATTCATCATAAATGACTACCCAGTTGGACTTTCTTGAGCCTCTCTCTATAGTCATCCGAATGCACATGAGGCCTGTCTACCTGGGGAAGAACTCTTTCAAGCCTGCTACCTTGCCAAGCTTTCTCAAGTCTGCATTACCCTCTCTGGCCAGACTGAGCAGGTTCTGACTCCCCATTAATAACAACTATAATTTACTCGGTATTATGTACTGGGGAACTTTGTTGCTTAATCCTTACAATCTTGGGCTTAGTTTACACCATCGCTTTTGTTTCACAGAAGATGAAACAGGCTCCGAGAGAGTGACTTGCTCAAAACCACGCAGCAACGCGGTACTCAGCCGGGGCTCTCCAGAAAGGCCAGAGTCCACGGTTCATTCTAGTTCCAGTCCCATGTTTCTGCTACTTCGCCATCCCGGCCCTTTTCGATCCACTGACAGTTGTGACAGGTCTCGCCCTGGCCGCATCTCCAGGATGATGCGTGCTGGATGGCAGCAAGGTGATATCTCCAGAGCGAGAGCTTTCCTTCCTGCACCCTCCCCAGTAGCCGGGCTGTCCGGTTCCGCTCCTACGGCCTGCAGCAATCGCGGGAAGAAAAAGGGTGGGGGAAGGGAGGAGAGGCTGCAGAAAAGCCCACAGGAGGCCTACGTGCAGCGCGCCCTCGTCTGCATCGCTGGTTCCCAGGCGCCCGCCACCCGCCAGGTCCGGTCAGGCCTCAGTGCGCAGGCGCGAGGCGCTCCTCGCCCCCTCCCATCTGCGGGCCGCCCTTTCACCCTGGCAACCACGGCGCGACGGCGGCGCGCGCGCGGTCTGGGCGCGGACGGGCGG